GCCGCGAAGGGGGTTCGTTACGAACACCCCGCAATCTTTCCGTGGGCAGTGCAGTACAATTTGAGTGAAATCGTCATGGAAGCTATCACTATGCTGGAGCAGCTGGAACCTCCAGCCCCTGCAAGAAGTACAGAGAGAGAAGTCTTCATTGCAGTGCCGGTGGCCTTCGCAAAGGTAAATGCCGAGATCGGATATGAGGATAATATCACTGTTTACATCTACACGGATTTCGGCACACTCGCTAATAAGCTGCTGAACCACGTGATCACCAAGAGCATTATCGTCATTTGGCCGCAGACGATGCCCGAGAGCCGGCCCATGAGGCAACTTCTCATCAGCCTGGAAAGACATCTAGCCGACGGAGGGGCGCTCGCATTTTTCCCGTTTCCATACGAGGATTCTAATGCACCCGAATGGAGGAGAATGGGCGAAGTGTGTAGAGAATTCACGCGCTACATCACGGACCCCCGAAGAAACTTTGAAGCTTTGGTACGAGATCATTATTCGGATGTATTAGACGCTGCCCCCTACACCCATCCCGCGGTCTGCTTGGGTACCACACCCCGACGCAACTCCACTTCGACCTTAACGGACAAGCAGATGTTGCTGTTCCTTGAAAAGATGCGCATCACCATTGCCGACCTCATTCGTCTCCCTGAGTTCAACTTCGCATCAGCTCAGCTGAGAGAACAGCGGGCTCGCGAGAAAGCGCGCGCTAGGAAGCGTCGTAGGGAAGAGAGGATGCCCAATTTCTGGGTCATCGAAGACCCGCAGAGGAAGCGTCATCAGCAGCCCATAACGTTCCATCCCCCACCTACCAACAGCCGACATGCCAGCCCCCCACGCCGCCGTGAAGGATCCGGCAGCCATCGTCGTAGTCCGCCACGCCACCTCGAGAGATTTCCCCGCCGTGGAGACGACTATCCCACCAGGAGTCACAGAGCGAGCCCAGAACAGGGACCATCATACCGCCGCCAAGTCGAGGCAGAGTCTAGCCGTCACGCGGTGAGTCCCACGTTGCCACACCGCTCTCAC